TCATGTTAGGCATGAATTATCCGATCTCAGTGTGGCACTGTAGGATAAAACCTTTCTCTACGTCACAGATGACCTTATTTATGTACAACCTGTAAATAATTTTACGGGACTATTGTTATTTCAGGAATGCTTGGAGAGCACAGAGGAAGGATTTTTTTAGGACAGTGGACATCTATGAAAAAGAGAATAGAGCACGAAAGCAACAAGGATTGTACAGACTAATTTCATAGGTGCATAATGCGCCAGCTGCATTTTATTTATTTATGCAGAAGATTTGGACAGTATTTTAATCCCACTTGCATTTGAAATGGTAGCATAGCAGTTTTGAATTCAAAATCCATTCACTGGGTAAACAAACTTCTTTTTGTTGTCTTCTACAAAAACACTTTCCAAAACTTTTTCCATGCTGAAATTATTCCTTCTTAAAATTATTTTAAGACCATAGGCAGGACCTTGGAAAGCGATTAAAGAAAAAGGATAACCTGTAAGGAGGTCCTTAAAAGGCTTCGGAATGTGAAGTATAGGCATACTAGGATGTCTGTGAGAACTTTACTAGTTTGCAGAAGAAGAATGCCGGGTTTCTCTGGCATGACCGCAGCGTGTAAGCTGAAAGTAGTACCCTCGTGTTCTCTCTGAGTTACGTTGTAAGCAGTGACCGGAAGTGTGGGTAGCCCAGGTGACAGTCTTTGGAAAGCGCTACTTGCAACTTCTGAGATGATGGCAGGTACCTTGCAAGAGGCAGGGTGGGGGTAGAGCTACCCTTGGAGTATGAATGGCAACGGGAAGAAGAAAACAACTGAAGATAAGTCCTGTAAGGAAGTAAGATAGTATTTAAAAAATACAAACTCGGTTCCACCAGCACCACAAAAAGCGTTAAAGGAACGACACTTCAGCAGAGCGACAGAAGAGGGCGCTCTTGGACTGGGAAACCCGGCCGGTCACGCCCTCCCTTCTTACGGCCAAGATTAAATTGCCTTTACAAATCCCGAAGAAACCAGTGTAAATAATCCTTAAGAGGAAAAGAAGAAATTTTCTCAAATACAAAGTTACTGTAAGAATAAAATAGAAAATTAAGGTAAAATTTTCTTAGTAAGTTATATATACACACTGACACAAAGAATGAAAGTAAATATAAAAGGAAAGATATAAAAGCACAGAACAGGGAAACGGAAAGGCAACACTGAGACGCGCGTAACCTCTGTGAAACAAGCTGTTGCATTATGAAAAGACGCCAGGAGCCAGGCGTTTAAAAACTGTCACTGTGAATCGACAAAGCAGGAAGAGGTGTGAAATAGGAGCTGACTGAACTCTGGAAAGAAACCGACCAAAGGAAAAAAGAAAAGAAAGGAAAAGAAAAAAATAAAAGGAAAAACGACAAATCATTTCAGAAGTGAGAACTTAAATTACAAAGATGGATGTTAGCAAAAGTTCAGTTAGAGACACAGAATAGAAATGAAAGAGGCAAAAAAATGACACTAGAATAAGACATGAAAAGAATCAGAGAAAAAAATGGCAGAAGATCCATTATATCTAATTTAACCCTTGAACTAGAAAAACCAATGAAAATGGGCAGAAATAATTTTTAAAATTATAATAAAAATTTTTTGGAAATAAAATATCTGAATTTCTGTATAAAAAAAGACTATTGTCTCCTATGTACTGGGAGAATTGATCTAGAATAACGAACTCTTTTGATGTATCTTAGTAAGAGCTTAAAATAAAAATGGAAAAAAAGCCACGTGAGCCTCCAAGTTAAAAAAAGTAGTAACTATCGAAAAAAGTAAAAAATAAAAATACATTAAAACTGAATAATTTAAGCAGAAAAACATCAAACTGTTATCAGGCTTTCTGACAGCACTATAGAAGCAAGTAAACAAGAAACATTTTCAAGAAATGAAAAATAATTTTAATTAGTTGTAAAATATTTAATAAGTAAAAAATTATAGCTCCACGATACCCAAGTTTACTAGTTAATTGCACGACATGTGACTTTGAAAAGCATCGCAGGTGATGAAGAAAAATTTCAGTCCTGTCTGTGACTGATAGATGCTGAAATATCTAGATGTGAACTGCCATATCTGCAACTTACTTTTAATGGTTCATCAAAAATAGCCCTATAAAAACATAGAAATGTGTTTAAAATTTTTCATAAGTTTCTTGACATTTAAGGAAGTTACTTCAAAGGATTTGCCAAATTTCAAATAGGGTTGTATAACTAAAGAAATTTTTTGTGTTGTTTGAGAAACATTTGGCAAGGAAAATGCAAAATTCCATCTTCTACGTAGTAATTTCAGATTTTTGGAATAACGACTCAGTAGTGACTTTTTCGTATTTCTCAGTATTCTTAGAGTTAAAGTCAGTGATTTGATCGTCGTCCATTTTTTTTCAGCAGTTTTAGTTCCAGAATTTTAGTAACTAACCGCTGGTGAATTAACGGGGGTCAGAGGGCGGCGTCAAACTGAAGTGTCACTGTATCCCTGCCCCCATAGGCTGCAGTAAAAAAGACGCATTTTCCTGAAGAATTTCCTTGATGGGGAAGAGATTTTCAATATCTTTTTATTACTGATTTACAATATTTATATATTTTTGATAAGGACCTTTTCTGATATACAATGTATTAAAATTTTTCTCTCTCTCTCCAGGTATTGTCTTGATTTTTACTTTCTTGATTGTGTTCTTTGAAATACAAAAGTTTTAACATTTGTTTTTCTTTTGTTGTCATCTGTAAGTTTTTTTATACATGAAAATGTGGACAGACCTTTAAAACTCATGGTGAAATGCTTTAAAGCAAAGTTTTGTTTTTCGGTCGGTGAAAATATTAATGCGTGGTAAAATACAGCAGGTATTAATTTGCTAGGGGCTGCCGAGGGGCAGCATCCCAGCCTAGGCGGCGTCAGCAGCAGATACTGTTCCCCATAGTGTGGAGGTCTGGAAGTGTCGGCAGGATTGCTTTCTCCTGTCGCCTCTCTCCTTGGCCTGTAAATAAGAAACTGACTCCCTTGTGTCCTCGGGAGGCCTTTGCTCTGTCTTGTGTCCTAATCTCTCACAAGCACCCCAGTCATGTTTGACTAGAGCCGTGCGTCCAAACACCTCACACAAGCTTCATTCATTCTTTCAGGAGCTGGTCTAGGAACCCTGTAGTCACTATCAGAGGTGCTGGAAGGTGGGGCTTCCGGATGTGAGGGGAGAAGCGCAGTTCAGCCCGTAATATACCGATAACGTTGACTGTTTTAGCCATGCCGCAGTTCCCTGACGTTCAGTTCCTTTCTGTTGGCGTGTGATCATCACCACCATCCACAGCCACCTCTAGAATGTTTTTCATTTTCTAGTCCGAAACTCTGCCTATGCAGGGGGCTCTTTCTCCCAGCTCCTGGCATCCGCCGCTGCACTTTGTGTCTCTGCGAACGATGTTTGGAAACAATTTTCCCCCAAATTATTTTTGTGCTCATCCTGCAAGATACACACAAACTTTTACCTAAGCGAGATTCTTGAAGCTCTTTGCTCATGTACAAAATTTTATTTATGGGGCTGGGGATTTAGCTCAGTGGCGCAGCACCTGCCTGGCAAGTGCAAGGTCGTGAGTTCAATTCCCGGTACCGGAAAAAAAAACAAAACAAAACCAAAAAACCCCCCAAATTTTATTTACTTGTATATCTGCCCTTAGGAGAGACTCTAGAGTGCAGATTTTCTTTAACTGTAGCCCTCAAAACTTAGGCCAGTCTTGTTCTATTTATTTATTCATTTATCTATTTATTTAGGTACTGGGAATCGAGCTCAGGACCTTGTGCTTGCTAGACAGGTGCTTGTGCCACTGAGCTATATTCCCAGCCCCTTGTTCTGTTTATTTTTTAAGAAAATTTAAAGTTTAGGTTTAACTCTAATTGGAAATTGATATGTAATTTATAGATAAAAATTAAAAGGAAGTTTCAATATTCTCAGGTCTTATTTCTTGAAATTTAATGTTTGCCATTTCTAAAAGATCAATAATTTCAAAATTTTGTCAAATTTTCTTCATTTGGGAAGACTTTTTAAAATTTATTTTTGTACTTTACTATCTTGTATTAGGTAGCCAATTTTACATGTCATTTTGTTTTATTTATTTATTTATTTATTTATTTTCGAGACAGGGTCTTGTTATGCAGTTCAGGCTGGCCTTGAGATCACTTTGTAGCCTAGGCTGGTGTTGAACTCACAAGGATCCTCCTGCCTCAGCCTCCCAAGTGCTAGGATTACAGGCATGCCTGGCTACATCTCATTTGAAATGTAGATCTTAAAGGAAATATTTTCCATATAAAATCACCTTTTAGGGTGGTTTTTTATTTCTTTTTATTCATATGTTCACTTAATAAACATTTAATGAGTATCATATGGCAAATATTGGATATACAGAGAAGGATAAAATCTGGTTTTTATCTTTAAGGATAAAAATAATGTCCCTAGATGGTTATAGGTCAATTGATACACGTAAAAGAGGAGCAAAGGAGAGAACTGGTGGTTGGTCCAAAGAGATGCAGTAGTGTGGGAGAAGTGAATGAGCCCGGTAGGTGTAAGTGCCCCTCCCGGGGGGGGGGCAGGATTGAAGGGGGTGGCAGGTATTTGGACTTGGCCAACACTATAAACCAGGACCTGGACAAGTGTCACAGAGGGAGAGATGAAGCTTCTGAGTGGCTGAAGCCAGGGTTTGAAGGGCTGTGATACAAACCACCCCTAGGAACAGAGAGCTCCTGAAACATTTTCAGTTCTCAGAATAAAAGGAATGAAGAACATTAGGTGATAGGAGATAATGTTATTACATAGTAATTAAATGCAGTCTGAATACATTTTTGTTCACAGTTAAAATTTGTCATTTTTTAAGAATTATTGATAAATACTAGTTATTTAAAATGTACATCTTAAATGTATATTAATAAATTTCAAGTTTGCTTTATTTAACTATTTTACATATTTAAAAATAGTACTTGCCTTAGCTTTGTTTTTTTTTTTTAATTCCTTTCTTTCAGTTACAAGGAAGACCAGACGGAGGAGGAGTTAATAGAACCCCTGAAATATGCAGAACAACTTCCTGTAGCTCAGATAATACACCAGGTTTGCTTTCCATTTCATTCTTTTGAAAGAAACAAGATTTTTAATCTCTGGAAAATAATTGCTTTTGTTAGGTTTTTCAGAATCAATGTGCTGTAGCTGAGAGGCATTTCAGGCTGTCCGTCCCTATTTGGGCTACAGCTCTTGCGGTTAAAAGTCTCATTCATTGCACAGGATTAAAATGCTGCTTGCTGTGTCACTCTAGAATTCTTATGTAAAGTACAGGGTAATCAGAATTAGCTTTTGTGTATTAATAACAAAACTTAATTTTAGAAAACTTCCATTTTGAACCATTGTACTTGTTAGTGACAGGAGAAGCTGAAGATACATCATGTGGTGTAATTTTTTGGAGTGGCTGAAAAAGAAGAACAGTCTTCCTCTACTTCCTTCCACCCTACCCCATTATCAACCTTTGTGAAGTGTAATTCTAGATTTAACGTGGGCAGTTTGTTCACTTCTAATTATAATGACGCTACCATCCCTGTACATAATGATAATTTTAGAAAAGGCAGTGTTGTATTTAAGCTTAGACTTCGTACTATGATTTTGACAGCATATAACCTCTAGCCTTCTGGGCCAGAGTCTAATAATTTTAAATGGTCTATTGACTAGAGCCGTAGCCTTTAGACCAAGCAGATTTTTCAGGTCCTTACAGATTATAGAAAATATTTGAAGCCCTTTCATGTCAGAATTTCTGAGAATTGTTATGAACTATAATTACTTGACCCTTCATGTATATCCTTTCAATCAAAAGAATTTTTAGCAGATATGCATTGACAAGACATGCCAGTTTGAGCTTAGTAAAAGAAACAGGCTTTTATTTTAAAATGTTGGCTATAGAGATTTTTTCATTGATATTAAAATTCTATGAGAGATTACCAAAAAATTGTCAGAAATGTGCCCCCTTGGGAAGCTCATCCGTGCTTGGTAATCAGGTCCAGTTTATATGTCAGGAATTCCCTCGTGTTGTCAGAGCTTAAATGACCTAACAGTCTGCAAATGTCACATTTAAAATTCTGTCTTCATGCCTGACTCTCAGCATAAATGAATTAAACAGCAGAGCAGGCAGCAAGTCAATATGTTCTTAACAGTAAGAGTGAGCAATGAAACAGTTTGTGGTTTGTTTCAGAATAGGTAAATAGAACCTGCCCACAACAGTTCACCTAGAATAAAATCGGAGAGAGGAAACAAGAATTAACCTTTAAGATGGTTGACCAGATGAAATGTCAGGAGTATTTCCATAGCATGAATGAACTAATAAACTACCTGGCTGATGTAACAGCTGTGTTTTGCAGTGAGACACCATGAATTCAAAGATGACAATTTTTGACGCTGGTGAAAATTTTAGATTGTGTATTTTTGGCAACATAAAACAATTTTAACAGTGGATTATAAACCTAATTAAAATTCTTCAGGACCTGATTTTATATCATTTAAATCTTTAAGAAATTATGCAGGATATGAATTTATTTTATTTTCATTGAACAAAATGAATTCTGTTCTCAATGAAGCAGTAGTCAGGAAAGGTCACTGTCAAGGACACAGTCTTCATTTATCCCTGCTGTTATTACCTTGTGCTCTGTTTTCTCTTTGCGGGTACTATAGTTCAGGCACTGTTACCATTGGGCTGCCCAGGTGGTCTTTAAGAAGCAGGAGTTATGTTACCAGTAGTTCCCTTATAGGGGATTATTTGAAAGCAATTCTTCCCTGAGACAATAATAATAATGTGCTAGTGAGGTTCGGCTAATTCCACAAAAGCTTTTTAATCTGTATCTGAATCTTAGCAGTACTGTAGTGCATAAGTAGTTTCCACCCACGATTGTTTTTGTGAGGAATAATTTTGCATCCTACTCATACCTTCCCTATGCCTGTGTAGAGCATGCATCATTTCTGTCTGAATATTTAACTAAAGTTATTTATTTACATATGTTAAGTATCCTATATGATTGTCTTTCTGGACATTCTTGATTTTTTAATGTTCCTTTCTGCATCTTGCCTTGTGCCATATATACGTATATCTGAGTGGGCGCATAAGTGTTTTTAATAGGGCCTTGGAAGCCAGGACCCCTCTCTTTCTGTCTCTACTCCTCAGGGCTCAGAAGCCAAGGGCTGCCGCCTTAGCACAATTTAGAAGCTGTGCAAAAGATGGAGGCTTCTGAGAAACAGGAGCAGAGGCTGTAACAGGAGGAACAGTTTGAGAAATAGAAGTGGAGTGAGCCTCAGTCATTTGAGTAATTCATGTCTAGTACAGGCCGCGTACACTTACAATCAGGAGCTAGTGGACATTCTCACTGTGGCCATTTTGTACTGCCAGATTATTTACTGTTTTTCTGGTGATCCTGGAAAACATGATGGTACATCTCAGAAACCCAAGAGACTCAAGTTATAAACAGTAGTGTTTATAAGACAGTCTGCTGGGATATCCAGATAGAAGCTAAAAAAATTGATAGTGTCTTTATATTTGCGATAAACACACATGGCAATGAGAGAAATTTTCTGTCCCAACAATGAAAAGAACTGTACAATAATTATAATATATATGAACCATGAAGATGTACTGTGTTTCAAGAATGTAAAGACAAACCAACTACTTGATTGTGGAGAGGAAGAACTAAGATCATGAGAGTATAAATTCTCCCAAATTAGCCATTTTTACTATAACGGAAATTTTTTTTTAGCATTAAGAAAAAATGACTATGGGATTTATGTGGAAGAATATAAAAAAATTACTAAATAAATTATGTAAAAGAGAAAGGTATTTGCTGTACCAGGTATCAAAATATTATTAAAAGGCAAAAATAGGTGAATGTATTCAGGTGAATGTATAGGTGAATGGATAAAGGAATAGATAACTGGATTAGTGGAGTACAGTGGAGGAGTGGATTTGAAACTTGAGTTTTAATTCACAGTAAGAGTTTTAATTCACAGTAAGAATTATATTTTAGGGCTGGGGATATAGCTCAGTGGCACAGTGCCTGCCTGGTAAGTGCAAGGTCCTGAGTTCGATTCCCAGTGCCAAAAAAACACCAAAACAGAACAACAACAACAAAAGACTGAAAATAGAATTATATTTTACATGATAATGACCCTAGTTATGCATGTGTATATTAAAAATAGAAATAAAGTTTCCATGATATATTTACCCTCATATAATACATTGGGATATTTTTCTACTCTAGTTATATTTTAAAAGTGTCAAATAAAGTCCACTAAATTGATTTTATGAGCAACATGTATCCCTGACCTTTTGCACAAAAGATACTAGAATAGAGAACCCTGAAAAAAATTACATTTGATAACTTAATATATATTTTATTTTAATACAAAAACAACTAATCTTATTTCATGCTATGTATAAATCTTGTATATTAAAGGTATGATGTAAAATAAATAAATAGCCAAATCTTTGAAGACCATTTAGGCTACTGCTTAAATAATGTGGAAGTAGAGAAGGACTTTCTAATGAACACAAAAACCCAGAAGATATGTTCGGCACCATAAAAGTGGAATGTGTTACATGACAGAGGAACCCACAAGTTAGAAGACAAATATTAAAATCAAGACAAAAATGTTTATGAAGGAGATAACTGTAAACACTAATATCTATAATATACAAAGAATTCTTGGAGTTTTATAAAAGGCAAAAACCCCCAAATGAAAAATAAACAAACAAGAACAACAACAGCAACAAAATCCCAGCTCAACAGAAAGAGAAGACAACAGATGAAAAGCAATTTAGAAAAAAGAAAAGAACAAAAGGAAAATGGCCATTGAGTTAAAGAGCCTCAAAGTCGGTAAAGTGCACGTTAAAATTTCAGTGAAATTTTTTATTGCCCATCAGACTGGTGTAATTAAAGTCCTACTTTGAAAGTCAGTTTAGCAGTTCTTAAAAAGATTAAACATGGAGCTGTCATATGACTGAGCAACTCCAACACAGGTGCATACCCAAGAGATATGAAAACACACACCCAGTGAAAAACAAGTGGTCATTGCAGTGTTATTTTTAATAGCTAGAAAGTGGAAACAACTGAACGTTCATCAACTTGTGAGGGGATAAATAAGATGCAACATATCCACACAATGGAATATTACTCAGCAATGAAAGGAAATGAAGTACAGTTAAACGTGGATGAATCTTAACACTTATTGACCATTAAAGTATCTGTTAGATGAAAGGAGCGATTACAGAAATCCCCATACTGCATGGCTCCATTACATGGAGTACCCGAGGTCGCCGAATCCATAGGACAGAAAGTGGGTCAGTGGCTGCTAGGTCTGGAATGAGGGAGGAGGGTACTCAGGGCTGGTGGCAAGGGCTTCTTTTTCAGAACGATGAAAATGTTCTGCACTTAGTGGTGATTGTTGTGTGGCTCCGGCATTCTAAAACTACTGAATGGTATACTTTAAAAGGTTGCATCTTATGGTATGTTATTATATCTCAATAAATACAAATTACGATCACCTATTTCCGGGAAAGATGCTAGGAGAAGGTACTTGTGTACACTGTTGATGGAATTATGAACCTTTCCTCCCTTTCTGGAAGGCCGCTTGGTGACATTTCTTCTCATTTAATATATACCAAACTCGTCAACCAGTGGTTCCACTCGTGAGACTGGAATCCATAGCTGTAATGCAGAAATAAAAGTATTAATATATGAGACTCTCAGAACTGATATTTAGAGCAGTCCGACTATGGCCACACCAACCTGGAAACGATGAGAGTTTCTGAGCATAGTTGATACAGTGTATACGATTTCTAGAAGCCACAACTCAGTTGGACAAATGTATGTTTTTCTATTTTTTAATAACTGGATTTATTTTCTTAGCAGGTAGCTCCCTTTCCCCTTCCCCTGTGTATGCCTGATGGAACAAAGTTTCAGCTAGTCACTTCTAGATAAAGTCACTCACGCCCACGGGTTTCCCCTGCTTCTGCTCCTGCCTAGAATGATAGAATCATAGCCCAGGTGAAGGTGTATAGTTCACAAGGCTCTGTGGCACTAAGG